AATAGTTAGATGCAGATTTTTCTGACTTTCCTTTTAATGATGTCATAATTCTATCAGCTCGCATTGCTCAAAAGTTTAATTATCACACAGAGACACCCGGACCTATGTTTTATTTTTTAACAAAGCATTATTAAATACTTCTATTGACAGACACATTGATTATTTCGACCGTTAACACAGTGTGCTCCTGCATGTCTTCTACCTTCATCGCAGTGTGTGTTTGCTTTGGTTTGCTTAACGGTTCAGACAAGAACCTGATGACGATTACATTTAATTAGAAGTATGAAGGAACACATTGAAAAAATGGTTTGCAAACTCAAATAATAGCAAAAAGTCCTGCTGTATCAAAATATAAAGGTGCAGGACACCTAACCTGAAAGACCAGAATCGAGGAACCCTATTGTAGAAGTTCATCAGACATGTTTAAGATTTAAAAAGCTCTCCCTAATGAAACCTCCACAGGAAAACAAAGCTTTTCATAATCATAGGGGTCAGTATCCTGAATAAGGTCAAACATTTTTGAAACTTTGTGGAGTTTCATTAGATAAACAGCTTGCAAGGACAGCAAAAAAAATACAAATTTCTCTACCAGCACTTTATAAAATTAGTCCTAGTGTTACTTTACCATCCCCATAGGTGCATTTTTGTCTCTTCTTCATTTTGATCCCACTTAAAGCACCACAAAGTATTACAGCTTAGGCCAGCATTACCCCTCCTGTTAGTTGCATACCAATTCACACTTCCTGCATGGCACCAAACATCTCTCAGTGAGATAGGCTAAGGCCCCCTACAGCATGGGGACTCCAATCTGCATGCAATTTAGATCCACAAAACAGACTCACAGAGCTTTAAAGCTTGACATTTTTCCTTCACAAGCTCTGAAATGACAAAGTCTTTTGGATGAAGGCCAAAAAGTCTTTCACTAAAACCTAAAAATTCATTTTTTTGTAGTTATTGGATTTTTTTTTTTTTTATTGTTTTTTAAGTTATTACTTAAACAATGAATGACTGGGAATTTTAACTGCTTAATTTTATTCACATCCACATTTACAGGATTTTAATGAATAATTTCAGGGCTGTTGACATTTTTATCTGGGATACATTTCCAGATGACATGTAAAAACTCACCAGCTTATGCTTCACCCAGCTGGAAAATTTGGAGAAACCAAGATGTTAAAGTGTACATGTATTCCTGTATTTCTGCATCAGAAAGCTATAATTAGAAGTACATTATGCAATGACAACTTTTACTGCAAATCATGAAAGGAAAGGAACAGAATGTTAAGCTGGAGCTGGGAGTTGTTTTTTTTTAGAGGATGTGCTGTTAAAGATATCAGTCCAGGACATAACAGTTATTATTTGTAGCTGAACATGCTTCATGTCTCGTCTTCTAAATTAAAGACTGCTGAGGGACAATTCAAGGTTTCAGGGTTGTCTGATGAAAACAAATGTCATGATCTTGGCACTGATGACTGGATTATTAGTTCATTCCTTCCACCTGCTTAGCTATGCCCAGTTTTCATCAGATCCACTTGTTCCATTTCTTATTTAAGCTGCTTGTTTCCAGCCATCAGTGCCAAGTTATGCAAGCCCTGTGTGAGAATTCTCTAGCTTACCCAGAAGTGTTTTTGATTACCTGATTCTAACCTGTTTTTTGATCTGGACTGCTGAGTTAGTTGCTCCTCTGTTCTGGTCTGTTTCTGCCTGTCACATCTATGAACTGCTGGATTCTGTCTGTTAACGAACTTGGATCTGTCCCCTTACCCGGGTTTCGGATTCCTCTTCGGTACCTCTTCGTCTCTTTGATCCTCTGGCCTGGACATCTGCTCCAGCATCAACGCTGCTCTGGATTCTGCTGCTCTTCCTCGTCTGCTGGCTTCTGCTCGTCATTCTGCTCTGCCTCACTCCTGGAACTTTCTGGGTGGCTCCCACTGCATGCTGTGGAGAAATCATCACACTGATTTCTACTCCTTTCTCTGGGCACAGACAGAACTTAAGAACCAGGTTAGTCACATTCTCACTATCATTCCCCTTCTGAGTTTCTTGGTCACTAACCTGAGTATCTAACTCTACAGAGTAGAGTAAGCACGGCCCAGCTGATGAGCCACAGTGTACTGAGCAGTCAATAAAGCGTTTCATTTTCAAACACATCTATTCTGTCTGCTTGGATTCTGAGTCCTACTATCTGAGCCTTGACACAAAATGCTTATAAAACATGAGTGGTGACTTATGCAAGATACAGTATTGTTTTGGGAGGGAGGAGCTTACATGTGGCGGTGAAGCAGGCAGGATTTTGGGATGATTAACTAAAGCAAGATGAAACCTCTTTTTATTCTTTATTTATTCAGATATAATCCCATTGGAGCTGTGGTTAAATTTCACAATTATAGAAGGGTAGGCAAATACATACCGGTGCATTCTGGTTACTGGCTATAATAGCGATATCAATGTCAGATGATTATATCACCAGAGTTTTATATCTCTGGACAAAACAAAAGAACAGAAGGAAACATTTTTATCAATGTTTGTTGTGTTATTAAATCATCTGTAAGTATAGATCTTTGGTTACATTGTTTAATGTTAAAAATATGTATTTATCAAATTTTGCAGGTATGTCAATATCGAAATCTGTTTTAACACTTTATTTAAATAGACTGTGAAGTTGAAATAGCAGTAAAAAGCTGAGGAAGAAGAGCTGGTTGAGACATATATAGACACAGAGTCTCAGAAACAGTCCACATGATTTTAAATATGTCCTGCAGTCCCTGAGTCAGGAGACTAGAAAATGAGATCATATTAGCAAAGCAGAAGCCAGAAAAATAATATTGGAAAATATAAGCTTGAAGAAATACAAGCCTGAAGAAAGTTTGAGAATTGTATTGTAAATTTGTTTCACAGCATAAAGAAACTGGCTCCCTGATCATGGATTTAAAGGAGCTCAGTAACTAGCCTTATATACCTGTAATTCACAACAGTGGCAGTTTTCTTAATTGGTGTCTTATTTGTCTGACCGGAGTATCTTTTATGATGATTGTGTCACATGGTGTGAAGCAAACTGCACATGGGATTTCCTGCTTCCTCATTGTAGTTCTATAGTCATGCAGGACGTGTAAAAAAGAAACGGTTCTCTCTCAGTTCAAGGCTTGTGATTGAGGGCCAAACATCTTTTAATGAGCCAGGCAGCCATTAATACTAACCTTGTTCATTTAGCATTTGAATTTAGACCAGTAAAACAACACTTTCCAAAGAAGCTTGAAATCTTGGAACTTTTCCCTCACCAGGGTTGAATGTACATAGTTGCAATAAAAGAAATATGAACAGGTATGAATACTAATCTAAGGGGCAAGCTTGTATTTTCTTGAACTTTCCTCCGGTGGTGCATTTCCAGTTACAAATAAGGAAATCAAACTATCCCATAACATGTAGTTTTATGCAATCTGAGTGGTTGATAAAAGCTTGAACACACATGTGATACTAATAGAAAACAAATGCTTTTTTCAACAGAGATCTAGGACCTTTTAGGGATTACCAAAAATGTGTTGAAGTCCATCTGCATTTCAGAGTGAATAACAGCAGGATATCCAAGAACGGATCACTAGACATGAATGAAACTAGCTAAAGAAAATTTGAAGATTGAAGATTTCTTAATTGGAGGAAAGGAAAAACTTTGAAAGTTTATCCAAGTGCAGTTGCAAAAACCACAAGGATCGCCCCAGGAAAGAATAATCAAGGCTTATCATTGCTGCAGGGTATAAGTGCAATGGTGTATCAGTAGTAGGAATCAGGAGTCCCAGGACATAACCAACTAGAGAACTTCCCAGCATCACGGATAAATGTGAGTATGTTATTATTCAGAGAGAGGGGCAATATCGATAGCATACAATATTTTCAGACTCACTCTAAAAATTGGAGAACACCTGTCATGATCAGTTTGGTGGAATGATGGAAAGAGAGAATTTTCTTTTTATGAAGCATTAAAATCCTTGTGTTTTATTGTAGTTTTATGTGGACCCATTCTTCTTTACTATTCTATATAGTTAGGAAAGTTACTTCTTGAATATTTCATCACATGCAGGTTTTCTAAAGCCACAGATAATGCAGAATCATTGTGTCATGCTAAAGAAATAAACAGAAAATGTGTTAAAAAAAAAAAAAATAGGCAAATAAAACATTGCAAAACTTTCACACAAAAATCTTAACATTCCTGAGATTAGGAGAAATTCTTTCATTAAAATAGAAAAACAGAATTTTTTCATGTTAGCATGAATAAAAAATTTAAGTTTTAGCATGAATATTTTACCCATACAGAGTCCTCCTGTGATTCCCCAGCTCACTCTGACACATTTTAATCTAAAATGCAAAAAAATAACATTGAGGTTTCTTCCTTTTTTTTCCACATCACATCACATGGATTTGGCAGATCGTATGTTTGTAGAAGTTCATTCCTTTTCCATAAAGCAGAATTAACAAACATAAAAAATGCCTTTTTTTTTCCCGTAACTAAATTAAATGTTCCTTTTCTAAAGATGATGTTGTCCAGCTGTTGTCAGCTGTCATTCTGTTTTATGCTTTGCAGAGTTGCATCTGTCTTTTGAAGCTGCAATTAGGACATGAGCCTTTCAAAAGCAATAAGCTTTAAGTAAGGAAATAAGTGGGCAACGCGCTCACGGGAATAGGATGTGGGATCTAAAACTTTGATGTGACACAAAAAGCTGAATTAAAACAGACTTTGAGGTTAAATGAGTTCTAATAATGGAAGATTGATAACACCAAAGCTTATAGCCCTTTCAGCTGCACTCACCCACAAAGATCCAGTGTAATCTGACCTGTCAGACTACATGGAGAGTTCTCGGTCTTACCAGCATGGTTGGGCAGTGTCACAACTCAACCCCTCCCAACCCCCCTAACATTTTTTTTAGAAAGCTTGACACCCCTTTCAGATTACAAACAACCCAACCCATCACACATTCGCATAACAGTTGGGTATGCACAGGCTGGGGCTGCAAATGATTTCCATTTAGAAGTCTGATTGGAAATTAAAAAAAAAAATAAAAATGGACAGAGAATCAAATCTGAACCGAGCTGAGACATTCTCCTTCGTCAACCCATGGATCAGATATTTTCTCTTCTTCTTTAGCTTCTTGTTTTGGGTGAGTACAGTTGTTTTCAAAGTGCTTTTCCTGCAGCAGCACACACTGTGGCACAGAAAAATTCACATCTGATGTCCTGGAACATTTTATACTCAGGCTATTTTTAAGAATACAAATCACCAGCTATCAGAGTTGTACCTTAAAAAAGATGAATACTAGAAAGATCTTATAAATAATGACTGAAGCAACATACTGGAATTTTAGTCGTCAGTTGCAGGAGTCCAGCCTCTCCATTACAGCTTGTTTTAGGTTTACAACAGTTATAAATGGGCACTCGCATTGCCTCTAAGTCTCTGAAGCAAATGTGGAGCGATGCAGTCCTTTCAGATCAGCAGAGCACTGACTCATGCTAAGGCATAAAACTGGCAGCTGTTTATGCCTGCTGGTCATCAGCTAAGAGCAACCATTAATGTGCTGCATCCCTTCACTAAATATTTGTATGGATTTAAGGCATGCATTATAGAGACAGGTGAACCATACTTGTGTAAACGCAATGAAAACAGGAACTACACACAGCTCTGGGATTGGCTCTGGTCCCCTACTGCCGCCTCTGGGTGGGAAGCTTCTACTGGGCTCTGCTGCTTCCCCACTTGAGGCCTGAGGGGGTTGGTCAGTCAGGCAGTTTCTATTCCCTTTTGTATGAGGAATGTTTGTGTGGGTGGGTTTGTGTGTGTGGTTGCTGGGAGTCTTGGGTCGGGTGTGGCGCACTATCCACCTTGGCGTAGGTGTGGGTCTCGCTGTGGTCATTTCCAGGTCTGGTTATAGCGAGCCCTGGACTATGCTGAATACTGGGTCAGAAGATCAGATCTGGGGATCATCAGGGCATGGTGCCCCCTGGTCAGATCGCATCACACTGGCTGGTCACCTTTCTGCTTGGGTGTGGGGCGGGGCTGGTACGTGTGCTCTATCGCCGCTGCGTCGTGTCCCTCACCTATCTTTTTCCGGGCTTGACTCTCCCTTTCTTTGGGGCGCACTGGGTGTTGGAGCTGGGGTTGAGACTGTGTCGGGTCTGGGTTGTGGCCTACTTGCTACTTGCTTGCCGCCCACGCCTGCTATTAAGCATATTTTCCTTCCGAAGAATAGTTTGTAAACCCTTTATACATGAGCATGCCCATGCATACATACCACTGAAGTTTAGTTCTAGGGTTTCACAGATACACAATAATATTACACAATAAATACTAAGCTGCAGCTAAGGCTATTAACCACCCTGAATATGTGTAATCACAATTAGTTTTACCTTCCTTGAAGTTTGGTTAGTTTAATTTGGCTTTATTTTTCTTCCTTTTGCACTTGTTTTATTCTGTTGTCTGTTCCTCTCATGTCATAGGGCTGTGGGAGCAGACTTGTAGGAGTTACTGTGTGTCTTTTGTGTTGTCTATTTTTGCTGGGTTTTTTTTCTCTCTTTCATGCACTCTTTCTTGTCTCTATTTCTTTCTCTCAACCTCCCCCCCCCCCCCCCCCTTAGTTCATATTCCCTTTCTTTCTCTTTTCGTCTCTTGTTTATATGATTTTACTCCCTAAATAATTTTTAATAAAGTATCATATAAAGGTACCAAACAAAACCTTCTGATAACAGTCATAATAATCTGCTTGTGAAAGCAAAGCTGTTGGTTAGGTCGTGTTTTTAATCAATCTATATTGGTAATAGAGAAAACAATACCAATTGGTCACTTTGACCAAAACATACAAAATAATATAATGATATTGGAAGGTAGAACCATCAACCCTTTGGTTGCAGGGAAAACTCCTGCATCCAACACCACTGTTGCTTCCTGGAATTTTTTAATAGTTATTCTTAATGTTACAGCCAAGGTTATATTCAAGATTTGTATGCTATACATGTACACATCACTGTGATTGTTCTCTAGATCCATAACTATTACACACTTGACTCCAGCCAAACAGTCAGATTACTACGTAAACCATCAGTTACCATGTTTATTGGTTGTTTGCTTAACCCAGGAATCCCCAAACTCGGTCCTCAAGGCCCCCTGTCCTGCAGGTTTTAGAGGTTTCTCAGCTTCAGCACAGCTGATTATAATGATTGCAGTAGACCAAAAGCCTGTTAATCAGCTTTCAATTAAAATCAGCTGTCCTGGAGCAAGGAAACCTCGAAAACCTGCAGGACAGGGGGCCTTGAGGACCGAGTTTGGGGATGCCTGGCATAACCATTTACATTGGCTGATCTGTAACCAATGGCTTGGTCCAATTATGACCAAAACATTGGTTGTTGCAACCAAAAATGGTTTGACCAAGTTTTTGCAACCAATCCATAAAAACCTCAAGAATTATTTTAAAGGTTGTCCCTTGTTCAGGATCACCTCATCTCTTTACAACAGTTATTTTTTGAAGGACATCAAGTTGTGCTCTTCAGAAAAAAAAAACAATAAAAAATATCTAGTTAGTAAATACATGAAATTAATAAAAGCTTAACAGAATTTAAAGTCATAAATAACTGATTTCTTTTCTGAGATTTCAGCTTCATAATACAATATTTTAACAGGTCTTTGTACTCACTGTCAAAAACTAGCTGTCATTTTAACTTTTAACCTGTAGAGTAAGAGTCTCATAAATCAAAAGACTATTTTCCCCAAGTCTATGGGTTTATTATTTATTTTTGGTCTCTGTGTTCTTTGGGTCAATGAAGATTCTCTCTTTCTGAACGTTGGGTCATAGGCTCAGGATGTAAGATCAGAAAATGACATAATGTAGGACTGGTTGTGACATGCTCAGGTCAGCTGCTGCCCAAGACTGACCTGCACAGGTCAGTTGAATTTGGTCAACTTTATGCAATCTATCTTGGTTTTACTAAGAACTCTTCCAGAGTCTTCTTGATGGCCATTGTGGCCACATGTGAGCAAACGGGCATCAAGGTTTATTCCCTACAGCCTGTTTTTACATCATTTCATTATTGTTTGTTTTCAATTTTGTATGATGCCATCTCAATACTATTGCATTGCTGCTGACAGCCAATATGTGTGTTTAGCGCATCTAGCCTGTGAGGATGCAAGGAGCTTTAATGGAGGTTGAGGATCCTATGTTACTCTCTCAGTGGTTGCAACACACAAACAAAAGCATTAAAAACAACAAAAACAACTCTAATACATCCATCCATCTCTTTTCTGACACGCTTATCCGAAGCGGGGTCGCGAGGGGTGCTGATGCCTATCTCCAGCTGTCGGACCAGAGGTGGGGTATAACCTGGATAGGTCGCCAGTCCATCGCAGGCAACTCTAATACAGCTCAAATTTAAGCCAGCATTACATTAGCACGTGTAAAATCATTCATATTTTTATAGCAAGAAAAAGGCTTACTGAACTCATTCTTGCAGAGCCATCTGCTAACAATCAGAGGTGAACTTCATAAAACAACAATACATCCTCCATATTAGGTTTTCATGTATCAGTTCTTTAACACTTATATGATTTGCATTAACAATAAAAAATATAATAAGGATTTGTGCCAAATTGAAGACCTGGCCGGCTGCTGATATTCTTAACTTTTATTTACTAGCTTAGCAGTTGATGGCTAAGTGTATTGTTTATAGTTCAAATAAATAAATAGAAATTGAACTGTTTTAATGGCATTTCTTTATTTGCATATTCAACATTTAGTGTTTGTGGAATTTAACACTGGTATAAAATAGACAAAAGATTAACTAAAAATGATTGTAGGGAGCTGAGCTGTTCTGAATTACACAGTCAATGAAAAAAATCTGCCCAGAGGAGGAAAAGCTTAGACAACAGCAGGCTCAAACATTTACAGCATGACCATGCCTCAAATGTATGAGGTCATCTGTACAATTGTATCATTCCTGGTTTTAATTGTTTAAGTTTAATTTTTTTGTTGTTGGCAAGTATGTAAGTAAAGATTATTTATAAAGCACCTTTTGGAGACACAATGCCACAAAGCGCTGTTCAAAACAATCACGGTGAGCTAAGGACACAGAAGGGACAATAAAATAAGGATAAGATAAGAAACAGAAAAAACAAGTTCAGAACAAGATAAAGAAAACACAATAAAATCAGAGCTAGATAAGACATCGGAAATACAATAAAAGCCTGGCAGAACAGAACATTTTTGAATAGATTAATAACATTTATATATCAAGAGAATCAGAAAAACTTTGTTGGTTTCAGCTTTCTGCCATAAGGAACATTTAGGAAAATCCCATGTTCATAGTCAAGAGCTGGACCATTTAGAGCCTCTAGGTGAGAGTAAGAAAGCTAATTCTGAAATCAACTGGGAGCCAATGCAAGATGGGGGTAATATGGGAGAATTTACTTGATTTAGTGAAACATCTGGCTGCTGCATCCTGAAGTGAAGAAAATCATGTGAATCAAATCCAAATTAAACGCCAGCTGCTAAATGTTTTTATTTGCTACGCCAAAAGGTATTTTTCAGGCTTATTGTTGCTTGTAGGTGGATAGGAGTCATTATACCAGCTGTGTTTTCTGTGTTTAATACCAGAGAGTTACAAAAAAAAAAAAAAAAAAGCCAACGATCTAATGCACTTTAAGGCATACATACAGGTGGATATCACGGCTGCACAGTATGAAAGGTGTTACAAGGATCCAGCTGCACCAACAGCGAACTTTACCCTCCATCCATAACCATTGTTGTGGATTTTTACTAAAGCAGTTTCAATAGAGTGCTGCTTTAGAAAGCCAGGCTTAAGATGGTCCAAAATCTTTTATTTAGAAAGCCGGGAGCTGAGCTGGATTTCAACTAGTTTTTCAAGTATTTTAGTGAAATGAGGCAGCTTTGACTTGAGGCAAATTTTGAGATTTAACAAGTATCAAGGTTAGGTTTCTTTACAATAGGACACAGCTCAGCCCTTTTGAAGTAGGATAGAAGAATACTGATACATAATAATATCATAATACATAGTGATGGCCAAATGCAGGTAGAAGACTGCAGGGAGGAAAGTACTTCAAAGTATATCTTCTGCCTGTATTTTGGCCCCCCCCTCTGTCCTGGGCCCTGGGACAATTTTC